AAGCTATAACCACAGACTGTCTAGGTGTTGTAATTAAACCATTGTATAAGCACCGGTTAGACAGGCTTGAACTATGCATGTGAAGCCAGTCGAGAGGTATATTCAATCCTATAGATTTCTCATTGTTTGGTAACTATTTGCTGCAAATGCAACAAAAATCAATATAAAAATATTACCCACATAGTATTCAACAGGTTACTTGTATGATATTGACGTTGACTATAAACAAGAAAGTTACGAGTAGAAGCATAACACGGATACTGTGGACGAAACAAATGACTCAATGTCGTAAAAACAACATTAATATCCATTTCAAAATCTAGGTGACGATTAATGTAGTAATGGGGTATGGACTAGATTACCTCCTGGATTGTTTCCCACTATTCTTATATCAAATACTCTTTCCCTTGATTTTTTTTTCGTTTCAACTAGTTGAAATAAATAAATGAATTTACCACTTGATAACCGCTCGCTCGACAGATATTAAATTGCAAACAGACACACATTTGTATTGTACGTTCAGACATTTTCACTTTTTCCCATTTTAATTATGACACAAATACGATCTTTTTTTATAATTCTATTATCAATAATTTATTTAGAGCTTCATGTTTCTATTAATAATATAACATATAACATATAACACAATTCGATGATTAAGTTTTCTTTCCACACGTTAACTACAGAGAGAACATATAAGAGAAATGGCATTAATTAATTTGCCTTGTTAGTTAATTTGTTAAATTTTACTATTGATAACACATGTAATCTGTCGTTTTGTTATACAAGGTGTCTTTTAACGTTCAACGCGCTCACCTGATTTTAGCATCTACATATGAAAAACTTGGGTTGATGGCAACGATCACTCAACCACGATCCAGGATTGTCACCGCCCCTGAAATAAAAAAGATGTAAAAATGTAGAACTGAACTGGTGAAACAAAGTCATCACTTGACCAAGCTCATTGTAACGTATTTGTTGAACTTATAGTAGAAAAAAACGAGAAATAATTGTCATTCATCAATTCAAAATCGTAGAAACATATGTTGGGTTTGCCAAAGCCTAAAGAAGAATAAATGGAACGGGTATAATTAGCTAATATTATATTGTCCGCAATGAGCGCAGCACACTGTAACACGAATTTGATTATTGCGTGTAAGGCTGTAACTAGAAATGTAATTGACATGTGTGCGCATGGACTGAAAAAAAAAAACATATGACGTCATAAGGAAGGCAAGCTACGCGTATTTACTGAATTGTATCGGTGTCAAAATCAATGCATAATGTGACTAATACTATGTAATTATCGATCACTCTCCCCATTAATGACACCCCTCTAATTTATACTGAAATAATTAAAACGTTCGTCACTCAATACAATATTATTTATAAAATGGCTATGTTCGGATTTACGAGATCTTATTTTTGTGTGTGATAGATTACACGTTACTTATTATTCGGAAATGGCCACAATTAATTTACCTGAATGCTCCACATCGATTCTTCTGGTTTTTAGGATGACCGGATTGCCAATTCTCGTAGCAGATATCCCGCTTACTATATCCACGGTAATTCCATTCGCCGCTGAAATACTTCGGCCCAATCCAGTAATCATCGCATGTCAATCCTGGGCCCCCATTTTGAATGTACTCGGCAAGTGCGTTGTTGGTGGCTTCACTGTAGATTTCAGCGAGGAAGCCCTCGGGTTGCAAGGCCAGACAGAACTCTTTGGCATCTATCCATTTCTTTTGACATGTAAAAATCAAGTATCGGACGCAAGTCTGTTCTGTAGGGCCGACAACACCGGGCTCTGAAATGTAACATAGATACCAGGTTTAATTCATACCACAAATTATTCATACTACTCTACTTGAGTAATGTACTGGAGAATTCTTTGGTCGCCAACAATAATGAAATGATAATATATATTACGTAACCACTTACTCAAAGTTACTACAAATGTACAGCTAGCGGAATTCCCCATGGCATCGTATGCGGTGCATTCTACCTCTGTTGAACCGATGCTGAAGACAGAGCCTGATGCTGGAGTACATATAATATTGACAACACCAACGTTGTCAGTGGCAGTAGCTTCATATGTCACAGTTTCGCCATCCTCGTCTATGTCCCACACGGAGGGTACAGTTGGACATGTTATGACAGGTGGTTCGTCTGGAATATGTAAAAAAAAGTGCGGCATTGTACGATAATGAGAAGGCAGATTTATATAAATTATAAGACTTATAAAAATAAGTGTGTAAGGAAGGGATGGAGGGGAGGGGGTAAGGAAGGTGGGAATGAACAAATAAATAAATAAATGCTTACCATCAGCTGTGAAAAATGTCCAAAAAATATAAAAGAAATTAACATTGAATTAGTAATGGTTACCACTAAAATTGGACTTGTACATTGCAGTATACGACATGTGAAATTAATATTATATAATAAAAAAAAACAATTTTACTGTTTCACATGTACCTTCAATTACTTCGACAAAGAAAGAACACTCAGCTGAGATACTCGGATTTGGGGTATACGCAGTGCACACCACTTCCGTCACTCCCACTGGGAACGCGTAACCTGGCGGTGGAAGACATTCCACCAGAACATTTCCCTCGTCTATGGTTGCCTCCGCCAAATCGTAGTAAACAGTAACCAAATCATCGAAATCGTCGTCGTCAACTGACATGTCAATAGGGCAGGTTATATCGACTACAAACTCTGCAATAGACAGGGGAAATCAATTATAGTTAGAATTGAAATTACATATTTATGACTTTGATTCTGCAACACGGTGTAGTTTAAAACGTAACTACCTTATGTTGAATTGAACAGTACGTACCGTGTGGATAACAGGGTTCTGAAATGGAACAACAGCATATAAATATTAGTATAGATGAAGATATAAGTTATATATATATATATATATAACGATATCTAACGATATATATATATATACTTAGTGACTGTTGTCATTAAAACTAGCAGTTCGAAAGCACGATTCGAGTGCACGAGTGTCGCGGCAAACACATTACTTACCTTGGCATTCGCCAGTTTCTTCCACCACATCTAGACAGAAACAATCTCTTTCTCCGTCGACGATTGTACAAATCTCTTCCTCACCACAAGATATGAGTACACAATGGACAGTTCCATCATCAAGGCATTCACATTGTAGCGTGCAGTCCAAATTATACCAGATATCTCCAATCTACGAACGGTGAGAACGATATCTAATAAGTGTTGATCGGTGAAGATATATTGTGCAAGTTATCTGGAGCAGTGGGCGTGGGGAAATAATTCCACATGCATACTGTACGACAAAAGTGTTACTTTTTAACTTTGCAACTATCATTGTCTATGGCAATATTCGGCTCCCCCCTAACCTATAGGCTATATCTATTCGGGCGCATACTACTAAGTCTAGCTGTTTACTAAACAGAGGGGACACACTCACTGGGTGATATTCTCCATCTACAACACATCCACAGTCACCATCTGGAACACATATGTCATCGCTCAAGACATAGCCTTCATCGCAGACACAGGCCTCAACGCATGGTTCATTGCACTCTTCCGTCGCTGAACAGTCAGTGGGGCATACACAGTCGTCATAATGGCTGTTAGGCGGACAATCCACACCTTGAGGTATAAAGAAGGGTTAAGAAATTGGCAAAGTTAGTCAGCTTTGTATTTTTTAGCTTAGTGTGCATATTACGTCATTATAAGATGCTCACTATCGTGGATTATAAATATCATGGTGACTTACTGCAGCCAGTGTCTTCTCGGAATGTTGGCAAGTTAACATTCGCCAATTTGCAGTCTGAATAGTAAGCTTCCAATACATCGCACGTCAGTTCGCCTTTAAGACACATCTCACTCACGCACTCTTCGAAATAGGGAGCATACGGCAATACATCGTGGCAATCAGCGAACAGTCCGTTACTATCAGATATGATCCCACACGCCTCTCTGAAAGGTGTATCGTCTACGTCGCACGAAATATCGTCAGTGACATCAGCGCAACTGAAACAGATTACAGCCAAATTATTTTTTTAATTACATTCAAAATCGACATGAATGTTATAAAATAAGGTAAATAGTCTTACCTTTCATCTAGTTTCCAGTCGTTGCCAAACTCATATACTGTGGATGCAATCGCTCTAGAGTGCAATAGCATGTCGTTACTATCGTCTCCGTCACATGGACCACAGAGGCCGAGGGTATTAGATCTATAAGTACTGTCTAAACCAATGACAGCTCTGTTACGGCCATTCCATCTGATCCAGAATTTCCCGTAGTATTTAAAAAGAACTTCGAACCCTACACGTCTTGCTTCATAGAATGGCGTGGAATGTGGCAGCTCAACATTCAATCCATTAATCTATGTTAATTGGGTAAACGTAATTAGTCAATAGCATTATTAACGAATGCGCATCCCATCTTGCCTCTATTTATGACCGACCTCCAAGAATTTATTTGCATGGCCTACCTTAACTTTGTCATCCTGTAACAGTTCGACCTTCTGTTGGAATATGAATGCTGTCACCTTCTCTACTTGGGAAGTGGGCAATGAAGGGTGAGGTACTGTTTCGGCATGGATCTGGAATTCTGGGTACACGGCGAGTTCATCTATTACCAGAACGTATGTACAAATTCCTTGGAACGAGAACTGAGTCTGGTCAAATGTGGTGATGTGTGGGTCTCCTCCGACAGAGCAAACGCATTCTGCAAACAAAAATAGTGTTCGTTATATGAAACAGGACAATGTTGGGGAAAGGCATTCACATTAGGGTTTCGGGTATACATTGTGTTTCAAATGGAGCATATTATAGAGGGTGTACCTACCACATACAATGTTTACTTGGAAAGAACAGGACACAGAATTCCCTGCATCATCCGTTGATGTGCATGTCACCTCTGTTACGCCACATGGCATGAAATCTCCAGGATTGTGAGTACACATGACTGTCACGTCACACTCGTCATCAGAGCCACCTGGCAGGGTCCAGGAGTCAACCACTTTACCATCTTCATTGGTCGTACTTTCCACGATGTCAGCCGGGCAATCATCGATGGTTGGTGGGTTGTAGTCTAATGTAACAGTAATAGATAGTAAGTATTCAATGTCTCGACAATATTTCTTTTTGCATGGTCAATACATGAACGATCCTGGTAAATGAGCAGCGATACGTGTACTGTGCAGCTTGTGTGCAACAAAATACTTACCACATATGAGAGTAATGCTAAAAGTGTGTGACACTGAATTGTCTTGGTCATCTGTAGCGGTGCACGTTACTTCTTCGGACGACCCACAGGATGGTATAAATGCTCCTGGCATAGAGCTACAACTTACATCCACATCTCCGCCACACCCATCGCTAGCGGTGGGAATTTCCCAATCGACTGCCTCGCCGTCATTCTCGCAGTCAAACAGTATTATATCTGGCTGGCATTCGTTGAATTTCGGGGGCTGTGTATCTGGCAGAATAAATGGGATAAGTTGTCTCAGATATGGACTTGCACAAATTGCAATGAAAGCAATAAATCATCTGTTCATTACGAAATCTACACAACTCACCACATACAACAGTAACTGCAATCGAACACGATGCTCGGTGACCAGCTCCGTCCGTGGCCACAAACGTCACTTGTGTTGTGCCTTCATAAAACAAATCGGATTCCTCGTGTGAAACCGTGATAATGGGATTTCCACAGTTATCATTTGCAATTGGCGGTTTCCAACACACTTCAACTCCGTCACATCCACAATCTAAAGTAGCACCAACATCAGGTCCACAGACAATGGTTGGAGCTACAGTATCTGCAAAAAAGTCATGACCAAATAAATAGGGTGTATTACATAACACCTAACTGTGGACGGTCCACCAAACATACTAGAAATACAACTACATTATTCGTATCAGAATTATTACCAATACAAGACACTCCGTCAGCAGCGAGCTCCAGACAACCTGAACATGAGCATTCGTTACTCCCGGGTCCGGTTTGTACACATACATCCTGGCAACCTCCATTCCCAATTAAACATGGATTTGAACCTAACAAATAAAAGAATAAAAAAAATAAAAACGTTTTTGAGTATGAAAAAAAATATTATTATATTCATTCAACATAACAGACGTCAAAACAAAATACAACGTACTTGAACATGTTTTCCCATCTGCACTTAGTTGGTAGCCTTCGGTACATGAACACGTGAAGCCGCCATCTGTATTGTGGCAGTTTTGGTCACAGTCGTCAATGCCCTCATCGCATTCATCGATATCTACAATAGAAAACACATCGTCGTCAAATATTGTATACTATATTTCAATAAATGAATTCACGCGTATAACGAGGAAGATACCAAACTTCCGAGTCTCATATCTTACAGATACCAACTTTCGAATTAGTGTTTTTGTTTTACTCACCGTTGCATGTTTTACCATCACCGACGTCCAGCCTCCAGCCATCATCACACATACAGTAGAAAGAGCCATCTTCGTTTACACAGTCGTGATCACATCCAGCCGTACCTTGATCACACTCGTCAATGTCTTGGGAACAAAGCAAAATTAGATTGCATTATTGACTGCGACAATGCGTGGCTGTACTTTTTCGAAACATATAATTCGTAAAGTCGATTTTCGACACGTTGCTATCATACTTCCGACCGAACACTACTATGTTAGCAGTGTTGTTACCATAGAGAAAATACGTACCGTCACAACCGAAACCATTTGTATTGAGTGTATACCCGGATGCACAATCGCAGTAATAAGACCCGACGTCGTTGACACAAATTTGTTCACAAATGTCGATGTTGAAAAAACATTCGTTAACATCTTGAAATAAATAAAACAAAATATTAGGACTGACTTCAAGAAATTGAGCTTGATGTTTTAGCATTGTTAGTTTACGGATTCTGTTTGATGGAAAGCATTTGCGAACCAATACGAATGTTTATATGAATATTTTAAAATCTAAAACTTTTCCATTCCGGTGGCATTCAAGCATTCATTTTGTCCATTTATGGACTTCTATCTAGATGTGTTGTCATCACGTCTTACCATCACACGTTTTCCCGTCGTCGTTCTTTGTATAGCCGGCGTTGCAGGCGCACTGGAATGACCCAAATGTGTTGACACATACTTGCTGGCAGTCGTCGGTTCCCTCGTTACACTCATTAACATCTGAAGAAAGCAATAAAATATTTCTATATTCAGCGCATGCGCTTAGTTGGAAATGTTAATCTAAATATGTTAAGGCTGACTTGAGAAAAAAATCTCATCAACCCCCTA